ACCTCCATTAATGACCTGGGTGCTGGGACAGGGTGTATCCTCAGCAAGTTTGCAATGATAGAAGACTGTGAGGAGTGGCTGATGCACCAGATTGCTGACCTGCCACGTAGAGAGACCTAGACAAGCTGGAAAATTGGGCTTATAGGAATCTCATGAAGTGGAAATGCATTTGGGGAAGAACAACCCCATGCATCAGTACACACTGCGTACCAACCATCTGGGAAGCAGCTTTGCAGAGGACCTGAGGATCATGGTGGACAAGCCAAACGTAAGCCAGCAACGTGTCCTTACAGGAAAGGTGGCAAACTGCATTCTCCATTAGGAAGGTTATCCTCCTCTGCTACTCAGCACTAGTAAGGCCAGTCCTGGAGTGCAGGATACAGTTCTGGGCTCCCCAGTACGAGGACGATACGGACTTACTAAAACAAATTCAGTGCAGGGCCACAAAGACAATTAAAGGACTGCATCACCTTTTGTATGTGGAAAGGTTGAGAGAGCTGGGACTGTTTAGTCTGGAAGAGAAGGCTCCAGGAGGATCTTATTGTTTATAAATACCTGATAAAGGGAATGAAGAGGAAGCCAGACTGTTCTCAGCAATGTCCAGTGACAGGACAAGAGGCAATGGGCACAAACTGAAAAACCAGGAAATTCAATCTGACCGTGACGAAATGTTTTTACTGTGAGGGCAGTCAAACCCTGGAACAGATTGCCGAAAGCTGTGGAGTCTCCATCTGTGGAGATACTCAAAACTCGACTGGACATGGCCTTGGGCAACCTGCTCTAGCAGAGGGGGCTGGACTGTTTCATCTCCAGAGGTCTCTTCCAAACTAAATGATCCTGTGATTCTGTGAAAGAGAAAAGTAAATTCATCCTACTTGTGTAGCTCTGTGGATCTAATCTCCAGCCTATTAGAATAGAAAGCATTTGTTTTGGTTAATAAAAAGCTATTTTATCGAACTACATAGATCATTGATTATACTGGATTTCTAACAGTATTGATATCACTAACTCATCTTTGGTTTGCTTATTTTCACTTATATTCAGGGAGAAATCCATTACACGCTTGCAAGGACTCTGCAGTATTAGGTACGCTAAATTAAGGCCAATCTTAAGCACCCTCAATTTACATCAAAAAGTGTACTAGATAACAGAGGCTCATTAGCTCCTCCTAATCCACGCACTGTAGTGACCTGACTAGTTACATTAAAAAGGGAGGGGGCTAATGAGAATGGGATCTTTCCCATTACCACACACTTGCATACAGATCTTAATATTACCATTATAACAACACGTATAAAATAAATAAGCTTGGCTTATAATCTGGGCTCGATACTGACACTTGCAGGCCATGTAAATCTTTGTTATCTAACCAGCCTCAGTGAAAGCTCTACACAGGCATATCTTTGTAAGACTGGGCTTACAGTTTTGGATTTTACTGCACCGCTAGAGACTTTGCTGTATCTTGCCTGTGGCCAATGTGCAAGTGGATACTTCCTCCTCTTCTTAGTGAAAGATGGGCTAATGCACCCATGGTGCGATGGGGAAAGAGGGAAATTAAAAAAAGAAGGTGTTAGAAAATATTATTGCAAGGAAAATACTGTCTCCATCCACCAAGAAAACACCAACCTAACAAAAAAAAATTCCCCATAAAGTACCAAACCCCCCAAACCAAAAAACTAATACCCCCCAAAAACCCCACTACAGAAGTATATTTTTCCTTCCTTACCTGTATTCGTGATGCTGAATCAGAAGCAGAATTTATTTATATCCATTGCTGTACCTCCTCCAAGATACCCAGCCAATATTGTAAAAGCATCAAAAGACATATTACAGTCACATGGAAGAAAGAACAAGCTTATACCATATGTTTCTGCCCACATCAATTGCAAGAAATTACAGGAACATTCATGTTACTGTACCGGATAATTAATCTTAAAGTAACAATTACATTCTAATGTTCCAAGAACAGGCTGGCCATAGTCTATAGTTCCTGGTTATTCACCTGAGAACTCCTTTGTACGTGTTAAGAAGGCATTAAAATGTATTTTTTCAAGAAAACTCAGATCACTTTGCAATACAGTAGCTATAAAATATTTATTTTTTTTAAATAAAAATATTTAAATCATCAGGTTTTGTAAAACAGAATGTCAAGTGTCTATCTTAATCTTTGTACTGTAAGCACCTTCAGTTTTATGCTAAAACAATCAACATAATTTATTATTTGGTCAGGCTATTAACCTCCATTGAAATAAATATACTTTTAACGAAGACTGATCACTTAATGCATACTAGATTACCATACCTCTATAGAAAGTTTCTCTGGTGGCAAGTGAAATACAGACTGTGAAACCATGATTACAACAATTCTTTCTTTTTCTTTTTCATTTTAGTGAAGACTGGCCTATAATTTTAAACTCTAAAAAGAACGATAAAGCACTACAGACTATAGCTTAAAAGAACTGCATCACATAAAAGAAATATTTGAGATGGCTTACCTAAACTGCCTCAGAATAAGAGGTGGAACACAAACTCCTAAATTAGTGATAACGCACTGGGCTGATCATATGTCCCACTCTTAGGGGAAATAATCCACTGAACAGGAATAGAAATCCTTGTTTAATTACAAGAGAGATAAGACACTGATAAGTGAAAACAATACTGCTCACAAAGGGCTTTTTATGCGGATACTACTGATTACAAAACAGGGTGCAAAATTCAACATTTAAAATTATATAAACCTTAAGCATACAGAACAGAATTTAGCAGAAGTTTACATGTCAAAATACTTCAGCACCTGAGATTTTCCTGTAGAAAGCCAGAGACATTTTCTTCAGAAACATGTAATACAATCAACTCCTTTTCTCTCAGTATTACATAGGAATAATTGATTGAGAAAGGGTTGGAATACACGTAATGCTCCAAAATTCTAATTAAGCCTTGAAGATAAATCTGCTATCAAACTATACTTCAAATTGGATCCATGTGCATCTCCTAATTGATTTTCTTTTATGAAAACATTTTGTATTAAAACTGGAAAAAGGTTTCATCTATTGAAGTGTTCTGATGAAATTAAAGTTTAAAGAAGAGACAAAGAACAGTATGCAATTAGAATCATGTTGACAAACAACTAAGAATACTGAAATAGAAACAGGTTTGAGCAAAATGTAATACCTTAGTAATCTGCTATGCAGGCATTTAGTTTTACAGACAGCTAGTGGTTATGTCTTTACTTTTGGTAAACTAATACCTTAAGGAAATCCTTTTCTATTTTCACTTTGAGAGCTGGGAAGTTGCATTTTCTGTGTTCTGCTTTGTGTGATTAAGATTTCATAATTGTGTATAAATTATCTGTCATCCTCAGGGTAGCCACTGTACTGCACACCAGTCTTAGAACAGAAACTTTCTTTTTCATTCCCTTGCTTTTGAAATTTTAAGCAATTATGTACTCTATTTAACAACTGAAGTCCCAGACCCCAGAGCAAAGGAGAAGAAAACATTTAAAATAAAGGTCTCCACAAAACAGTGTTCTGATGGGAACACAGTAGTTTTATTCTAACATTATCTAATTTTATTTATGAAGACTATTTAAATGTCAAATGATACACAAAATTAAGACTTCAAATACTGGAATATAAGGGATGTTCCTTTAATTCTAGGAATGCTTTCATCAGGAAAAGTATACTGTACATTTGGTTTTATTTAATCACTTAGTGATACTGTAAAAAATTAAACTATCGGTGTTATCAAGGTTAAATGTTCCTCTCACCACAATTAACTACTTGGAATTTTCTGGAACCTTTCTATCACTGAAAACCAGTCAAACATATCCGTTTCTGTCCTTTAATTCCTAAATGTGAATAACTGGGCACTCAGTAGTAACTTCAGAAAGAAAAGCTGCAGAGATTATACTGGAAGATGTAATATTAAATTATCGCAGTTTTAAAATTCAAGTGCAGTAAAACGCCCTGCTGGCTCACTTAAAACCAAAACCAGTCATCCTGAAAACCCAGCATCTTTCCTCAGTACAAGGCGCAGCAGAGTGTAAAAAACAAGACGGGGGGAAAACCCGTCTGCCACAAATAAAAAATCCCAAACCAAGAATATTGTTTTCAGTGCAAACACTGTAGTCTTCAAAAGGTTAAGAGTACAAATATTGACGTTCCAGTGTATCCTTACCTACAAGGAATGTTGCTTCACATTAGAAAGTATGTCAAATACCTTTAATCCAATCGCAGTACTAAAGTTTACCCTCTCAAAATCGATATGGTGGCTGAAACCTAAGTGTTTATACAAGCAGTGTAACTTTCTGGAGAAACTAATACACACAGTTGAAAGTTCTCACAAAAACCAAGGGCAAAGACTGCAAATTCAGCTGCTGGTCCTTCACCGGTTTCAGCATCAAATGCCAAAAAGCAAACAGCTGCTCAGAGAGGAGTGAACAGACCCTCCCGCACCAGCGCCTTCAATCCCCTGCCCCCCTCCTTAATTCTACAGGCCACAGAGGCAAGCTGCAGACAGCCCCTTCTTAGGCAAAAGTCTTCTTGATGGAAAACAACTTTACTGTATGTCATTCACTTTTTTTCAATGTGCAAAAGTTAAATTTCTAGCAAGAGCCCAATGGAACACAATCTTACTGTATGTCATTCATTTTTTTCAACGTGCAAAAGTTAAATTTCTAGCAAGAGCCCTCAAACCTAAAGAAAACTTCTGTGACACTGCAGGGGGAGGTGGCCATGTTACTTTAGTCATTCAAAATATGCTTATAAAGTTGACCCAGAACATTATTTTGCAGCACTGTGCTTTTTAGGGTTACTAGCTGTGATTCCAAGGAACATCTGAAAAAGGCACCTACTACGCTTTCTTATTTAGCTGCCCATTTTAATAATTTTGGTACTATTTGTCACAGTACATCAGAAAACAGCAGCACAAAGCATTAGATGGACAAGAGTTTTATATTGGTTCCCCATTAAAAAAGCAGACATTTTTAAAACGAAAGGCACTCACGACAGAAACTCTCTCTCCAGTTCATATATAGATGGCCGACAAGTTTTGCTCTTCATTCTACACAAAGGCACAGTACAGTCTCTGTTTTGACCTTCCACATCAATATCAAGTAATGAGGGCATGTGGCAGTTAGTTCTTTCCTCAGTATCTGGCAAGAAGTTAACATCTGGATCTACATTGCCCTCTAAATATTCCGAGTCTTTAGAGTTTGGTTTAATAATACGTGGAATAATCTGCCATGCGTCAATTTTACTTCTTAGAGTAGAAGGTCGAGGCCTTGATATAATATTGACAGCGCTCTGCTTTTCGGTCGAAACACCGCTGTGATTGCTTTGTTGAACAGATGGAGAGTGCAGAGTTCCAGTAACTGGTACAACTGGTAATGTGGAGACATCATTGGTTGAAGCAAATCCATTCGCTGGGGGAAAGGAGAGGCCAAACAAAAAAAAGACAATTTAAACCATGTGACTTCTTGATTTCTTTGCTGTTTGTAAAAACAAGTTGCCATAAACACTAGTGGGTTTTTTTCCACCAGAAAAATTAAGAGGCTCATACATTTGTGGGGAGTCTCCCAAGAGAGGGCCAGCAGCACTCAAACAATATTTTTGCATCAATACTCTCTGCTAGAGGCCATAACAATTTATTTTTTATTGCTACAAAAGACATCTATAGAGAAAGCATTAACCACCCAGTAACTGGATGAATATTAATACCGGAATAAGCCCCACAAATCTGTGCAGTTATTAGGAGTAATCACATTACAGAGTACCATGAAGAACATTACCTTTAAGCCACCTCAGGACACCAGTATTGAAATTTAGAACTTCTTTTCAAAAACTCGTTAATCATGAACTTAACCATTTACATGGAAACTAGAATTAAAGACCTTTTTATCAGCTTATATTTTTATCAACAGCTTAGCTTCAGGATTCGTGGAACATGTGATGTAACTTCTAGGTCAAGCAAGCAAATCAAAACTTACCAGACTTGTTTTTCTTGAAGTTAATAAATGTGCAGTACTAAAATGATGCTCACCTATGCAGACTGTGAAACTATATTAAAGAAATCTACTCTCCGTCTCAGGAAGTCCACAGCTACATAATGCATGTATAATGGCCGTTTATTTCAGCCATAATGCTAATTTTTTACATTTCACAAAAAGCAGGTTCTTGCTGACACAAAAAGACCAGGGAAACCTATTTTTGCAATACCTGAGAAAAATAGGTATTGCCTTAGAAGGAACCACCTCTTCCCCATAAATCTCCACACCCACACTCCTAACAGGATACTATTCCAAGTGCAGGTAGTTTATTCAGGGTTCGGACACAGAGGGCTTACCCACACACAGTGACGGTGGCTCAGCTAACACACAACAGTGAGACAAAAATCTTTGCAACT